GCACACGGTGGCGTCCGTTGATGCTCGTCGTGTGTCTTTGAGACTCAAGTCCACGAAGAAGGTGCAAGGAAGACTCCATGGGCGTCCGTGCAGCAACTTGCTGCGTGGTGTGTAGCACCATCACTCACTCCCGCCATAACACATTCTGCTCTCCATCATGGTGCTGCTGGTCGTACGATCTCTCGACGTTGCGGTCCTCGTCGCATCACGAAACGAGCAAACACACCTCTCTCGTGGCGTACTCTGTCGTCGCTAACCCTCTCGTCATCGTCTCGTCGGGCAGGATGAACGTCGGCAGCGTCCGGCTTCGCGAGAAGGTGCACCGAAAGATCGCTTGCCTCTGCCGTGTTTTAAACACGTTTTCAACCACGCCGACCAGACGCCATTCGCTTTTTATAAAAATATGTAGGTTGTTGTATGCAATACAATACGATTGCGAGTTTGAGTCCGAATGTAGGTCGCATAGTTTTGTCCAATCAAGTACCTTACGGCCGTAGCCAGTCCTTCCCACTTTGCATTTTGCAACCAAGAACTTAGCGTCCACCATGGCGATTCGCTGCCAATTTGAAAACTCGAACGAAATCGGCGTCTTCTCCAAGCTCACGAACGCGTATGCGCTTGTCTGCATTGGCGGCTCGGAGAACTTTTACTCGGTCTTTGAAGCCGAGCTCGCCGACCACGTCCCGGTCATCCACTGCTCGATCGCCGGCTGCCGCTTCGTCGGCCGCGTCGCTGTCGGCAACAAGAACGGCCTCCTCCTCCCCAACTCGACGACCGACCAGGAGATGCAGCACATCCGTAACGCGCTGCCCGACTCGGTCGTCGTCCAGCGTGTCGAAGAGCGACTCTCGGCGCTCGGCAACGTTGTCGCCTGTAACGACCACGTCGCGCTCGTGCATACCGACTTGGACCGCGAGACGGAAGAGATCATTGCCGACACGCTTGGCGTCGAGGTCTTCCGCCAGACGATTGCCGGCAACGCGCTCGTCGGCTCGTACTCGGTCTTGAGCAACCAGGGCTGCCTCGTGCACCCGCGCACGACGGTCGACGACCAGGAAGAACTCTCGTCGCTGCTCCAGGTGCCGGTCGTCGCTGGTACGGTCAACCGCGGTTCGGACGTGCTTGGCGCCGGCATGGTCGTGAACGACTGGACGGCATTCACGGGTCTCGACACGACATCGACGGAAATCTCGGTCGTCGAAAGCATCTTCAAGCTCCAGAACGCGCAGCCGAACGCGATTGCGGGCTCGATGCGGTCGGCCTTGATCGATTCGATGACTTAATTACCCGATTAAATTTAATAGACACCACGGTTGCACTCGATGTCGTTTTACGTTTTCGTCAGGACCATGGGGTGGACGCCGTAGGCAGGTGCAATGCTCGCGAGCTCCTTGTGCAGCGGGTCCTCGGGCTCCCAGTACGTGACGTAGACGCGCCGGCGCAGCAGCGCAATGATATAGCCGACAAGCGCGATCCCACCGAGGGCGCCAAGAGTGCCCCACACCGTCTCGACCGGCATCTCTGTTTTGCAACTGTGATGAAGCGATCGATTTTGAAAAGTGAGGCGAAAATAGATGCCCAAGATGGCGGCAACTCGGACGCTCGAATACAGCTCTTCGCTGTGTCTGAGAGAGCAAGAAGAGCTGCTGGTCTCGGAAGCAGGCACGCGGACCACCAATGCAAAACATAATTACCGCTTGATGCCAAGCCTCCATGGCCAACTGGAGCAGAATGGCGTCGCCCAGCTCAAGGTCCTACTATATTCGATGCCGTGAAGTGAACGAGTAGAGCGAGAGAGGCGGCGGATGGGCTGCTTCCCGCAACAAGGTCTTTGAGCTGCCTACCACGCTGACGTTGGGCGACCGCGTTGCGACGCTGCGCTGTGCACGTCGTTGTGGCGGTTCTCTGTACTACCGTCGAAGTGGCCGCGTCTCGACCACTGTGGCCTAAGAGAAGGAAAGGCCAACGAGATCTATGCACAGCTTGTGTTGTCCCTCAACATACCGTAGCGTGACGAACATGCAGCATGCGATGCACAAGTTCACTTGTATGAAGGCTTGCTCATGGATAGGCAGGCGGCTAAGAATCGGTCGGTGCATTTTGCTTGGATGACAACTTTGTGTGAGGAAACCGTGTCGATCGTAGCTGCGTGTCCCTCACGCGGCGTTGGGTCACGGCCACATTGTCGTCTCGTTTACCGAGTTGCTCCTCGATCCATGACAACGGACTGGAGCGTTGGCATCGAGGGTTATGAGAGTTTCGACGCCGTTCGCCTTTACGGTTTCTCTCAGCTCTTAGATCTCGGTTTTTTCTCTGAGACGAAGACTCGTTTGTCGCCAAGGCAATATCAGCATCACACTTCTTCTCTTCCTTGTCGCAGCTCTTCTCGATCGCCTTGATTGCCGACTCTAGCGATCCTACGAAGATCACCGTGCATCAAGAATAGGGAAACATTGGGCGCAACCCGTCTTGTCTCGGCGCGCCGATCCCAGTCCGTGTGCAGTGCATATGCCTGCGCGATATCCTTCCACCCCGCAGCTGACCGCAAGGCAATCGTCCGTACCGTAAATATCGTCGAGAAGGCCGATGATAGATCCTGGCATACATTCACCAAGTGCCCACCTTGCACTTGGGCTCCGTATCCGGATGGTGTCCTTTTTCCGGATGTCATGGACACTGGCTGCGCCATGCCACTTGCCGATCGCCACAGCATGTACACGACGTCGTACGAAGCGACGCCGCTAGTCGCGGTCCCAACTGCCTCGCTCGTGCGCGAAGGCGACGACGACTCATTCACAGATCACGTGTTTCGCCTTCTCGGGAGCCCGTTCCAGCTCGTGACCGTGCTGCTCGTACCGTACCATGCCTTCAACTTGCTCTTCGCGGTCGCCGCCGCGGTCGCCGTCGTTGCCGGCACGGCGCTGGGTCTTGGCCTCCTCCCGCTCTGCTGCTTTGGCGTGCTCGTGCTTCAAGGCGTACTCTACTTGATGCTGTCGCTTGCCAAGGTCGACGTGTCACTCTACAACTGCGTCGCGCCGCGCGGTGACCGCATCCTCGATACGTTCCACATGCCGCGCCAGGGTCCGTTCCGGTTTGCGGGCCAGCGGCTCTCGCCGGGCCTCACGCAGCTCTTCTCGCAAGAGTCGTTCCTGGGCATGTTCTACTTTGTATTTGTCAAGTGCCCGCTCACGCTGATTGCGAGCGTCTCGTCGCTCGGGCTGCTGGCGATCGTGAGCGCCTGCGTGGCCTTTCCGCTCCATTACGACTTTTTCGTCGCCCACAAGGACCTTTTGACGCTGCGCTTCAAGCACGGCACGCTGCGCACGCACGGTGTACTCGAGAGCTTTCCGCTGGCCGAGAGCGACTGGCCCCAAGTCGTTTTCTTTGGGCTCGTGCTTCTCTACCTCACATGCGTCTGGATGCACGTCTGCGCTATGGTGCTCCGTGCGACAACAAAGGCGTTCTTGTGCGAGTACTTTACCGCGTCCGGCGTTGTCTACTGCCACGGCCAAGCGTCGTCGTTGCCGCCACCGTCCGCACCGCCGCTCTATGGTTCGGCACCGGCGTCCGTGCAGGCATACGCGTACGAAAAGCAGTGAGCGACGGACGACATATGACCGTCGCTCCAAGTCGCTGTTGCGATCTTCTGTCGTAGAGTACTATCTAATGCGTTTGGCACTGTGCTCGTGTTGCACTATCGCAGTGGTTATGACATTAGAGGTTGCTAGCTACATATGCACCCTCGCATAGCTGGGACATCATGTTCAACTGCATGATTTTGCCTGCGGTAGCGCTGCGCGACTAAAAGTTTAGCAAGGAACGACATACATATAACTAGCTGGCTCGTGTTGGTTAAACTGCAATCGGCACGGCAGAAACCACCGGGTTATCAGACCAAAAAGGGCGAAATGAACGCCTTGGCCGCCGACAAGCGCGCGTAGACGCCCGGTGTGTTAGCCAGCCCGCACTCGTAGCCCCAGCTCACGACACCAACGACAACGTCTTCGCCGTTTTGCGTAATCGTCAGCGGACCGCCCGAGTCGCCTTGACACACGTCCTCGCCCTGGACGCCACCAGCACAGACGTTGGAGCTGCGAATGTGGGGGTACGTGCCCTTGCTCGCCGCTTGGATGGCCGCGTTGCACTTGTCGTTGTCCCAGATCTTGACGTCGACTTGCTTGAGGACGAGCGACGGCGGCCCGAGGACGCCGTTCATGATACGACCCCACCCACGCACCGTGCCGACGGTGCCCACGGGGCTGTCGTCGAACGAAACTCGGATCGGCTTGATTGTCGACGGCGTCTCAAGCTCGAGGATGGCCCAGTCGTTGAATGGCGTGTCAAAGAGCTCGACGTACTCGGGGTGCATGATCTTGCGCTTGATGCGAATGCGCTCGCCGTCGAGGCCGCCAATGTTGTAGCGCGTGCCTACCGCGACGTAGTTGATCGAGTCGTCGACGCAGTGGCCCGCCGTGAGAACATAGGTGGGCGCAATGAGCGCGGCACCGCAGATCGAGAGACCCCAAGAGCTCTTGCGCACGCCCGCCATAAACAAATCGTCGCCACGCGGAACGGTGCTGCCGCCAATGATCTCTGGCTGGCCGTGGCCGCGCGGCGGCGTCGGTGTCGCGTCCGTCGCGTTCTCGGAGGACGTGCAACCGGTGTGGGCGGCCACGTCCAGCGCTGCGAGCAAGAGCGTCGATATATAGAGTTTATGTAGCATATTGGTGCTGCGCGGAGGACGGAGGAAATGGAAATGTAATGGCAGCCAAGTAACTTGACAAGATGACGGAGCAGCTGTAAACAGCTGGTACTTGCGTGCAGCACGTTTGTGCCTCGGCGACCCGGCTTTTGTGTAGGGACGGTGTGGCACAGGCGCGGAGGCTCACGTTATTGGACCCAAAAGCCTCCAAAAACCCCGAGGCGGCCTTTTTGCGTGCATTACGCGACCATTACAGAGCACCGACACGTACTGTGGAAGGAGCGTCTAGAATGTGCGCCAGAGTTGGAAACACGATTAACTTGGAACTGGAGAGGTTCACGAGCGTACCAGTAGAGCGAAGCGCCCGTGAGCCGTACATGGGCTGTGGCAACAGAGCAATGTTCGTGTTTGGTATTCGCACACTAGCTGTATTCGCACCGCTGCTGCCTCCAAGATCGACCACGCGGTCCACGACGGTTTCACGTTACGTTACCTCGACTTCTTCGGAGCATTGGATGGATACGCAGCACGTATGCGCTTTAGCAATGCGAATTCTCGGTTGCGTACGAACTATACTGGGCAAATTTGGGCTCATCATTCTAGCATGGGTACGCAGAGGCACCGGGGAGCTTGACGTTTTGTGATACGCTGTACCGAAGCTTGACAAATGAACGGCTACGACGCAGCGAGCGTTACGTGTATCGTAGAACGGTCGTGGACCGCACGTTACACGTATCCAGCACATGTGCTATCGCTTTGCATCGAGTCTATCAATTCAGCAGGCAGCCAAGTCAGCCGCGCATCGAGTACCCACTGGCGGCTAAGTCTGTGGTGCACCGTCCGAACCAGCGCGGATCCGCTGCGTGCGATCCCACGTTGCCCTTGCTGGAAGGTTCAAGTTGTACATGCATCAAGACTTCATTTACATGTCACGGGTTGACCCATGCACATGTTTACAAGTGACTCTGTGTGGAAGGCACTTGTCAACAACAAGGCAGCGACGCAGCTTACGCCGAGAGGTACGGCGAAATGAAATCCTGAGCCTTGGACAAACGCGCGTACACGCCCGGTGTGTTCTGGAGAGCGCAGCCGTAGCCCCAGCTGACGACACCCGTGATGACGTCCTCGCCGTTGGCACCCTTGACCGTGAACGGACCACCCGAGTCGCCCTGGCACGAGTCCTGGCCGCGAACGCCGCCCGCACAGACCATCGTGTCGGTGACGTGCTGGGCCGCGCCCTGGCTGGTCTGCTGGATGGCCTTGTCACACTTGGCGTTGTCCCAGATCTTGACTGAGACCTCCTTGAGGACGTTGGAGCCCGAACCGCCCGAGCGCGTGCTGCCCCAACCACGCACAGTCGCGACAGTGCCGACGGCATTGTCGTCGAACTTGACCTTGATCGGCTTGGTCTTGGCTGCCGTCTCGAGCTCGAGGATGGCCCAGTCGTTGAACGGCGTCCCTTCAACCGAAACGTAGTCGGGGTGGACGATGCGGCGCGTGACACGGATGCGCTCGCCATCCGCGCTGCCACTGGCGAAGTGCGTCCCGAGGGCGACGTAGTTGGCCGTAAAAGCGTCGGTTTCAATGCAGTGGCCGGCCGTGAGAACGTACTTGGGGGCGATGAGGGCACCGCCGCAGAACGTGCTACCGGCCGCGGTCTCACGCAAGCCAGCAAGGTACAAGTGCTTGCCAACGGCGGCTTCAACACCGCCGACGATCTCGGGGTTGACGTTCGTGCCGTTGCCAGCAGCGCGGAGCGAGGCCGCGTCGGTGGCGACCGAGAGCGCGGCGAGGGCAGCGAGGATGGCAGACGGAGCACGCATCGTGGTAGTTGTGGTTGCAAGAAAGCAAATCGAGATATGGCTTTGACCTCGCACCCCAAAAGCGGCGTGCGTTTTGAACTTGGTCGCATCGATCGAAACGCAGTTGGCACCGTCTGAGTACAAGAGTCGGTTTGTATTTCGGGCGTCGTTGGCGGGTACGAATCGTGAGTCGAGTAGCAAATCGCTGACTCAGATGCACTCGAAATGTGCCGGTGACCCAAGGTGTACTCGACGCTGCGACGTGAGTAGCTGCGCCTTGATCAACGCACGACTCTGACCTGATCAGAGCGGCGCGCACGAAAAACGCGGCTTGAGCGTCCTGATTGGTCGCAACGTTTCGGATGCACGAATCTGAGTCATGCGGAGCAAACAAGCAAAACTTCAGGAGACATATCCGGGACCGAGGACAGCTAAATCAGACAATAGAAGGGGTACCCAAGATCGTTCTCCAATATGATCTCGGTGCACGAAATATGTTTTATGGCAGCATGGGATCGGTGCTTTGGACTGTGTTTGCGTCGATGCATGAGGAGTGGCAGCAACTCTTGCAGGACGCGTTTGCCTTCGTTGCAATATCGTACCGGGATTGAATACCTTTGTCGCAGCCTTTAATCAAGGCTAGAAAATGTTGCCCCTTGAGTCTATGCTCAATTTGGTACCGTCCATCATCGCGAGCCACTTGAATTGGTGGTTTTTAGCCAGCCGAAAAGTCTTTAACGTCCTTGGTCAAGTGTCGCATACATCAATGTAGTATCTTTGTGGTACTCGGATGTTGCATACCGGTACATCGAGCCTAGAAACCTCCTCCTTCTTTCCACTCGCTCGCCAGCCACGGTTGCGCTGGCGGCGGCACGGGGCTCATCTACCGGTAGCTCTTCTGAGTTTTGTGCAGGACGATACTTTAGGACATACTAGTACACGGCGATTCGGAGCTCGTGCTCTCGATCACCATTGTCAGATGCCTATGTCTGATTTCGCAATGCGATGACTGCTGCTCCCTATGGATGGTTTTCAAAGTTGTCGGAAACCTATACTGTACTTTAGTACGAGGCTTGTTTATTCGTACTCCTCAAGATGGCAAGTTTTAGACCGGCTTGTGTGGATCAGACTCGTGGATTTTTCATCTCGTGGCCACGGACAATACCCACGGCGTGACTTTGAATGGAAGATGGAGCGAACATATTGTTGGAAGGTCGTCAATTGAACAAAGCGCCTTTGCATCGGCTGGAGATCGCGGCCGTGGTCACAGCAACCGGAGCACGATAATCACGGCCTATCCGAGTTGAAAACATCGATCACATCTTGGATAGTATGTTAGTCGTCGCTCTAGTAGCTAGTCACCAGAGTAGCTAGTCACCAGAGTAGCTATTTGATTCCGACCGACCAAGCTTGTGC